TGCCAAACGGTGTTATCCCCTCCTTTATTTTTCTCCTACCCTCCCTTCCCTTTCCCTTTGCAGGTTATCTGTGATTTTGGGTGTTTCGTTTCAGTTCTGACTTGTAGTAAATGCGTTAGTCCTCAGGCGTGTTGTCCGCCGCCCTGGCTATAGAAGGCCTCTTCCTTCCTTTGCCCTCTGCAGATTTGGTCTTTTTACCAAGCCCAGGTGAAGGGGGTGGGGTCTGGCATCATTCATTTCCTTAAATATACGCGGAGTTTTCATTTCAAAAGAAACCCAAGCCAGGGATGTGGAAGAATTAACCTTAATTTAACCTGAACCCTCTCCTTCCACCTTTACAACTTCTGTGTTCTGGAAACTTCCTGCAAGCAGTTAGATAATGGACTCCTGTTGGGTGGTTTCTTCGCCAGCTCATGGGTCGCAATGTATGCAGCATTGCTTTTGTGTGAAAGTGAAATGGTGGCCATGTGCACTTCCTGGTGGGTGCTTTGCCCTCCTTCCGATGTGGTTCAGCACCTTGGGTAGACCAGTCGTTTATCCCCACAGTGGCTTTTAGGCCATCCTTCAGTTATTCACTAGTAAATAACAAGGCAGGTTGCCTAGGAACCCCAGCAGCTGAGGCTTGGGTTCAGCGCTTTGTTCTCGCTCCCTGGGCAGGCATTCTACCACTTGAGCCATGCTTATAAAGAAGTGGATTCACTTGTGCCTTCATTTCCCACAGAGCTCATTTCCCCCTTGTGGTTATTGTACAGAACTAACGTAATTTTGAATCAGAGAAAAGAAAAATCCTGTATGTGATTGTTTTACTACTATCTTCATCTGTACTTTTTTTGGGGGGGGGATGGAGGTCAGTTGTGGGCTTGAACTCAGGGCCTGGGTGCTATTCCTGAGCTCAAGGCTAGCACTCTATCACTTTGAGTCACGGCTCCACTTCTGGTTTTCTGGTGGTTAGAGAGAAGAATCTCACAGATTTTCTGCTGGGGCTGTGTTTGAACTGCGATCCTCAGATGTCAACCTCCTGAGTAGCTAGGATTTACAGGCATGAGCCACTGGTGCCTGGCACAGAGTAAAACACTGAAAAGAAATCACAATTACTGGCTTCAATTAGTAGTTCTTCAATAGACTTTGTCTTTTGACTGTACTGGGGATTTAATTCAGGCAAGATGGGGCTCTACCATTTGAGTCATGACCCCAACTCCACACCCACTCAATTTATATAATAAAGCATCTCAATCTAGTGAGTTGGGAACCACACTAGGGGGCAGAGGGAATTTGAAAAGTTATTTGCCCAGAGTTACACAGCATAGTAAATTGTGAAGTCAAGAGTCTAATGATGAGCTGGGAAGGTGGCTCAGTGGTAGAGTGTTTGCCTTGCATGCCTGAAGCCCTGGGTTCGATTCTTCAGCACCACATAAGCAAAAAAGAAAAAAGCTGGAAGTGGCACTGTGGCTCAAGTGGTAGAGTGCTAGCCTTGAGCGGAAGAGCTGAGGGATAGTGCCCAGGTCCAGAGTTGAGGCCTCAGGACCGGAGACACACAAAAACAAAACAAAACAAAAAGAGTCTAATGACTACTCTTGAAAGTTCATGTTGGATCAGATTATCCTGTTTATTTCTGGCTTTAATTTTCTGTGATTTTTGTGGGCTAAGTCTCTGATTTACAAGGAATAGGAATCCGATGAGGATTTCCTGTGGTTAATGTTTGAGCAATCCCCAGTGCTGAAGTGGCTTTTGGAGCCAGGGGCAGTGGGGTCCCTCCTGTAGTAGTTGTTTTCCTGACAGGATGACCTTTCTGCAGAGATCCTAGAATCATCTTGTTCCATTTCATACTTCCCAGGACACTAGCGGGACTGAATTAGTGGCTTCAGGCAGAAATGTAGTATTATAGTTTGTAATTTCAGTTTAGAGCCACACACTTGTCTTCCTTTTTAGATGCTGAATTTTTAAATTCCTTACATACCTGGAAACATTGTACCTGTGGCAGCTGCTGAAATTCTTTAGAACTTCTGGTTAGCCTGACCCTACCTTTGTCCTGTTGCAAAGATTTTTAGTCTTTTTGAAACACAACACTGCCACTCGCTGGTTGCCAGGTGGTACTACACTAAGAATGCCAAAAGTCCTTCCACTGCTGAGATAATGTATAACATGGAGTTATGTCTAGATACAAACAAACCAGAGCAGTAATTTTAAAAATAATCTTATTGTTATTTATCAAGGTGTTGAACAGAGGCTTACCATTTCATAAATAAGGTAATGAGTACAGTTCTTTTTGAGCAGTGTCACCCCTGCCTTCGTTTTCCCTAAGCTTCTCCCCCCCACCCCATCCCTGCCCAGAAGTTGCATAGTTCATTTTCCACAGAGTGTCTACTGAATACCATGACCAAAGTAGTCATTTTTAAATGTGTGACCAGGAAGTATCCTTGGATTAGAAGAAACGTAAAAATGTAGAGCCAAAGGTTTCCAAGAAACATAAGCACGGTACATTGCCAGTTACTGTATCAGAAAATATTTCTGTTGCTCCCTGGGTTTTCAGGCATCTTGGATGTGTTGCAGAAACACACAGAGTGATGTTTCAGACATTGTTGCCAGGACTGCTGCTGGGTCCGAACGCTCACATGCTTGCCTTCAGTAACTCATCAGTGCAAGCTTGAGAACCTCTGCTAGTAGCTGGGTGATCTGAGATCAGTGTCATCCCTTCCCTGCGTGAAACTCTGTTCCTGGGAGAAAATCCTTCTGTATTAGTCAGCAGAGTTCTTGAGATTCCTGTGAAGCACTGGGTGCTATCATCTACTAACAAAAGATGGATTATTTCTTTAAGCACTTGCTTGTTTCCAGATACTAGTTTTTAAGTTCTTTCAGTAGGTTTAACTAGTACCATTTTATAAGAAAAGGAGAGACTCAGAGAATCTGTGGACACAAATGCATAGGAAGTGGTGGCTTTGGGATTTGTGCAATGAAGGCTTTCTTACCTATTATAATTCCATGTTCTTTATCTCAAAGTGCTGGAGCAAGGTTTTATTCTTAGCATTTGTTTTGCTTTCATTAAGAAACAAAACAAAACAAAATTGTAAGAACAGTGGTAGTCATCTCCTTTTTCCATCCAGACAGTACTGAACAGTTTTTATGATTAAAAAGTAAAGGCTGGGCACTGGTGGCTCACGCCTGTAATCCTAGCTACTCAGGAGGCTGAGATCTGAGGATTGTGGTTCAAAGCCAGCCCAGGTAGGAAGTCCATGAGACTCTTATCTCCAATAAACCACCAAAAAACCAGAAGTGACTCTGTGGCTCAAGTGATAGAGTGTTTACCTTGAGCTGAATAGCTGAGGGACAGCATCCAGGCCCAGAGTTCAAGCCTCATGACAAAAAAAAAAAAATTGTAAAATGCAGGGTGCTAGTGGCTCATGCCTGTAATCCTAGCTGCTTGGGAGGCTGAGATCTGAGGACTATGGTTTGAAGCCAGCCCATGCAGGAAAGTCTGCGAATACTCTTGTCTCCAATTAAGGATCAAAAAGTCAGAAGTAGCTAAACTGGTAGAGTGCTAGCAAAAGAGCTCAGGGACCCGCCCAGTTCCTGAGTTCAAGCCCTAGAACCAGCACAAATAAAAAAATAATCAAAAAAGAGCTCAAGGACCCTGCCTAGGCCCTGAGTTCAAGTCCTGGAACTGGTGCGCGTGTGCATGCACACAAAAGCACAAAATGGATGAAGCTAAAGAGTTCATCATGTAGGATTGTCTGTTTTATTCAAGCCACTGGTGTGATGCCTGTCTCTGTAAGGCATGGGTATTTGCCATAATGAATTACACAGTAAGAATCTAGGTACTTATAACACATTTAAATCCCTGTTCATATTTATGAGAGGTGTGCTTTCCCCTGCCCCCCCCCCTTCCTGGTTCTTTTAATGGCTTAAGTATTTTAGCAGAGATGTTTTCAACCCTTCTCAACCTTTTAGTGTAGACTAAATTTATGACCTCTCACTAAAGCAAGACATATCTTCCATTTCCTCCATTAATGAGGCCTGTTGACATATTTTAGGTTTTAGCTATATCCTTATGAACTTGAGGTACTTTTTGAACTTTAGCTCCCAGGGATTTCTGGCCAGTGGACCTGGGAGAGAAGGTAGAAGCTGCCAAAAGGGCTGACCTGACCCAGCCTTCAGCTCTGGGGGGAGATCTGTCCAGGGCTCTCCTGAGTTTACTGTTTTATGAACCCTGGAAAACTCAGTGTAGTCCCTGTTGAGCTCTCTCTCAGCCTGGCGTGGAATAACCTTCAAATTAAATGGTAGCCCTTGATCCCTTACTGCTCTCAGTGAACTAAGAACAGCGGTAACGTTCAGAGACCCTCGTGTTAACCGTCCTCAGACATTTGCATGGTGCTGATCAGCCTCTGCATGATGTGCCAGCACTTCTATACAAGCGACGCTGTTTGCTTTCTCGAGACTCAAAGATAAATATTGCAGGAGCTGCTTTGTGGGCCATAGTTTCTTCATCCCCATCCATGTTGGATGTCATTTGTTTGACATACAGCAATAGCTACCGATCCACATTTGGGGGAGAATCTAAGAGCGTCTGTGATAAGCAACCCTTGGAGAGAGTTGACTTGGTGTCAGCTCTTCATGACACAAAGGCTCGTAGTGAGCCTCAGCTGTGTGTTCCAGTCATAAATACCAAGATGGCTGAGGATTAAGATAGAAAAAGATGCACTCATGTATGTGTGTTCAATAAAAACGTAGTATTGATCAAGCTACCAGGTTGGCAGAGAAGCAGTTTCAAGATTGGTCTCTTCTGTTTCCTGAAATGAGCAGGTTGTGAGGGGTAAGGTCAGAGGGTATTGTGACTGAGGTGTTTGAAAAAAATACAGTCCAACCCTACAATCCCTGTCCTGGTGATGGTGGTTTCTCCCCATTGGCCTGGCCATCTGTTTACAGGACCTTGTAATCATAGGTATGCTATGCACTTGCAGGCGCCTGCAATCCTGTTCCTAATGCTGTTAGATTTTCCTTTTCAGAGTAAGAGGGACCATCTACTCATGAACGTCAAATGGTACTACCGTCAGTCTGAAGTTCCAGATTCAGTGTACCAGCATTTGGTTCAGGATCGACATAATGAAAACGGTAAGTAAATCTCTTTGATTTAATTCTTGTATATTTTAGCTTTGGTGACAGTCTTTCTAAAGACATCCTTTAAGTGGCTATAACCACTCTGGTAAACTTCCTTGAGAAAGAGCTTTTCCTGGCTGCTTCTGCCCCAGCTCTTTGTTTTTAAACCTCTGAGCCCGTGCTACGGAGAACCCTCCCCTCAAACAAAGATAGCTCCTCGTCGGAAACAACAGTAATTTAATTTTTTAAAATATTTTTTTCGGTTTTCATTCTATTTCCTTTATTTATTTTTTGTTTATATGATACTGAGGAATTGAGCCCAGGCCCTCATGTGTGCCAGCCAAGTGTTCCGGAAATGTGGCTTAGCATTCACTTCGTTCTTTACATATCTTGTTTCAAGTACTGATGAATAGCTAGTATCAAAAACCTTATGGAGACTAAGCACTTGATGGCTCATGCTTATAATCCTTAGCTACTCAGGAGGTTGAGATTTTTGGATCACACTTCAAAGCCAGCCAGGGCAATTAACTAGCAGGAAACTGGAATTGGCGCTGTGTCTCAAAGTGGTAGAGCACTAACCTTGAGCAGAAGAGCTCAGGGACAGTGCTCAGGTCCTGAGTTTGAGCCCCATGACCAACCAACCCCTCCCCCCCACTCCCCAAAAAAGAAAAAGAAAAACCTTTATAAAATTGTATTTCTTTTCCTTTTTTTGGGGGGAGGGGTCCGGTCATGGGGCCTGAACTCTGGGCCTGGGCGCTGTCCCTCAGGTCTTCAGCTCAAGGCAAGCACTCTACCACTGAGCCACCTTCCCAGCCCCTTTCTTTTCCTTTTCAGTAATTGTATTTAGCTTCCCTGTATTCAATCTACTGAACTTGAATTTTCTTTTTTTTTTTTTTTTTTGGTCCGGTCGTGGGGCCTGAACTCTGGGCCTGGGCACTGTCCTCTCAGCTCTTCAGCTCAAGGCTAGCGCTCTACCACTGAGCCACAGTGCCACTTCCAGCTTTTTTCTTTCTGCTTATGTGGTGCTGAGGAATCGAACCCAGGGCCTCGAGCATGCAAGGCAAGCACTCTAACACTGAGCCACCTTCCCAGCCCCTGAACTTGAATTTTCAAATCAAAACTTTTTGAATGATGTTATGGAATTTGGTGTGATAGTTGATTTTTCAGAACTGAAAGGTGTTCTAGGCAGCTTTTTTTTAATTCTATATTTTCTTGTACTTGTCAGTAACTTGTCAGGGGATCTATACATATGTACGATCACAGTTTATAGACAACCCAGTCAGGAAAGTGTGTAATTCTTAGACACACACACACAGACACACACAGACACACACACACACACACACACACACACACACACACACGATTAGTTGATTCTTGCTAGGGGCTAGGAGGCCTCAAGCTAGATAAGCACACCATTGAGTGAGACAGGTTTGGCTCTGTAGATGTGGGTGAGTTTAGAGATGAGACTGAGTACCTCTGCTGGCCTGGTAGCAGTGCTCAGGCTCTTAGAATCACAGTCCTTTTTTTGGACTGTATATGTTGACAGGTTTTCAGTCAATAAACAACACCAAAACCATTTAGAAGAAGAGTGTTCTTTTTCTTGTATTTACTCCTTAAATTGTTTTTTAAATAATTGTGTGTGTGTGCGCACATGCGTGCCTGCACACCATGCCAGTCCTTGGAAGTTGAACTTGGGGTCTGGGTGCTGCCCCTGACGTTTTTGCTCAAGGTTAGTGCTCTAGCACTTGAGCCACAGTGCCACGTTGCTTTTTCTCTGATTAATTAGTGATAAAGTCTCACGGACTTTTGCTGCCCAGACTGGTTTCAAACCTTGATCCTCAGCTCTCAGTCTCCTGAGTAGCTAGGATTGCAGACATGAACCACCAGCACCTGCCTAAAACTCTTTTGAAGTAATAAAGACATATTAGTTAAATATTGTTTTCTTATTTAAAACAGCAACTTAGTTAGTCCTTCTAATTTTGTCATTTTATTTTGGCGAATTTAGCAAACAAAATAAAAAATAAAAAGACACAAAGTGGATAAGATTACTATTTGTAGTCTTTTACAAGTTGCTGGTGTGTGATAGTTGTTTCTTCTCTATCTATCATCTATCTATCTATCTATATCTGTCTATCCATCCATCCATCTATCTATCTATCACTAGTACTGGGGCTTGAACTCAGGGCCTGGGCACTTTTTCTTGAGCTTTTTTTTTTTTTTTTAAATTTTTTCAGCTCTAGTCTCTCTTTTTTTTTTTTAATTTTTTATTGTAAAGATACTATACAGAGGGTTACAGTTCCATGAGTGAGGTAATGAGTACACTTCTTCTTGAACATTGTTAGCCCCTCCATTGTTTTCCCCCTACCATCCCCTCCCTCCCTCCCTTCCCCGAAGTTCTTTTTTTTTTTTTTTTGATTGTGATTAAGTGATTACATAATTTCTAAGTCACAAGTTCATTCTAACTTTCCTGGGCACTTTTTCTGAGCTTTTTTTTTTTTTAAAAAATTATGAAAATACCGTACAGAGAGGTTACAATTACAGCTGCACGTTGGCTATTTACTGGTTTATTGGAGATAGGAGTCTCAAGGTCTCTCCTGCCCGGGCTGGCTTTGAACCGAGATCCTCAGATCTCAGCCTCCTGAGTAACTAGGATTACAGGCGTGAGCCGCCAGCGCCCGGCATTGTTCTTACTATTCTTACTATATATTGTTCTTTTGTCATATTTTGTACATTTATGATGTTAACCAGTCCTGGTTGTTTACTGAGCTTCCTCTAATTGGGAGTGGGAGTGGGAGGGGTGAACTGGAAAAAAAAGATTTTGCAAAACTTCTCTATCTGTTTTGTGAAGCTCAGTTTTAATATCTTCTTAACTAACTTTTTTTTTTTTCTTGACAGACTCTGGAAGAGAACTTGTCATTACAGACCCAGTAATTAAGAACAGAGAGCTCTTCATTTCCGACTATGTTGATACGTACCATGCTGCTGCCCTGAGGTAAGTTCTGGAGACGCGAGTGTCTCAGGTGAGGAAGAAGTTGCTAAGGCTGGGGGGCAGTGTCCGATCGGATCCCCCAGTTACCAGTGCTGCACTCAGCATCACCTCAGCATTGTTGATGGCCCAGACGTTGCCAGTGTCATTACTAATCTGGCTTTGCCTCTTTGTCTTTCTTCTAGTTTAGTTTGTTTTCTATTCTTGCTGTTTTATTGCATTTTTCTTTGCTGGAAAACAAAAACTTAGTAGCCTTTGCTCAAGTATTTAGGGTGAAGTATTCCAGTGGTCTTCTGTGAAGACGGCACCCTGCCACCAGGAAAGGTGCGGAACGGCTAGAGCAGATGCCAGCAGCATGCTGGCTGAGGACAAGGCGGAGCGATGGTGATTTCACTCCCTAACTTCACACTTTCGGGATGTCCAAACAATTTCCCACTCCAAACGCTGAGGGGAGACTAGGGAGAACATAGTGAAGGTTTGTGGTAGGACAATAAGCGGACATGGCAGCCAGTCCCACCATCTTAAGCAAAACGCGAGCATGGCCGCCTGGGGTGTCTTATGTCCTCTCAAAAAAGTCCGCCATGTGTCCTGCTACATTGCATGTGCACTTGGCAGGCTCTGGACCTCGTATAACTAACAGTCCAAAAGCCCTGTCCTCACTGGAAATAATAAGTAATAAAGTGGTGAAAGAACTGTTTACTTTTGTGTTTGGTTTGTTTGGTTTCCTAAAGTCACTGGGATTTAGCTAGCCTTTAGCTTAATTTCAGCAAGGTATAGTCATGTCTCTCTCCGTTCTCACATGCTGTTCAGTACAACCATCTGGAATCTGTTGTGCAGTTACACAGCTAAAGCCAGTTATTTCCGGGCACATTAACAGCAACTGTTATTACGGGGCAGGTTTTGGCAAACTCTTGAGCCTAGGTAAATTTCATATGGCCTTGGTCTCAACTATTCAGTTCTGTCATTGGTATGCAAAGGCACCGGCAGCACGCAAACAAATGAGGAGGTCATGCTTCAGCAAAACTTTGTTTTTAATGAAACTAAAATTTGAGTTTCATTTAATTTCCACATACCAGGAAATAGGTCTTTTTTTTCTATATACTTTTACTTACATGTATATTTATTACATATAAATGATACAGGAGTTCTTATGAACACAGTACATTCAGAAAAGCTTGGGAAAGTTCAAAAAAGATCCTTCATAAGTGAGTGCTGACACTTATAAGGAAATAGGTCCTGTAACATTTTTTTTCAGCCATTTAAAACTGTGAAGCTTGTTCTCTTAGCTGCAGATGGAGGAGCCAGCTTTGGCCCCTGGCCAGACAGCTTGCTTACTCTGCTGGCCAGTCAGGGGTTGTTGTTGCCTTTCCTTCTCTTAGGACTTTAGGAAAAGGTTGAGACTCTCTGGTGTCTGTGAACTTTGTAGATTCCCACAGCTTTTGAATATTTCTCAGAGATCACTTTGCAATTTTCAGCCTGCTTGTGGGCCGAGGACTTTGAGGATGGCTAGGTTAACAGGACAGTTGAATTGCTGGCTAAGACACTGGGTAGCTCTTATCTTTGCTTGCATTTGTTTTCTTTTCTTGTCTGATCTTTTCTTGTTAGTGAGTATAAGTGATTTGAGGGATTAGGACATAAACATACCTGTAACTGACTATTCAATGTGTTTTGACAGGATTACTCAAAACCAATAGCTTTCAGAATTTCTCAATCCTCTTCAGATTGGGAGAATTTTTTTATTTTTTAATTTTAATTTTTGCCAGTCATGGGCCTTGAACTCACAGGGCTGTCCTTGAGCTCTTTTGCTCAAGGCTAGCACTATACCACTTAGAGCCATGCCCTACTTCCAGTTTTTGAGTTGGTTAATTGGGGAATAGCACCTTAGGGACTCTCCTGCCTGGGCTGGCTTCGAACTATGATCTTCAGGATTACAGACATGAGCTACTGGTGCCTGGCTGACAGATTCATGTCTCATTTTAACATTTTATTACAGGTATTCTTGCTGGACTGAGATGAATTTAGTTCATTCAGACCAATAGGTTTGCACCCAGGTGCACACTCCTAGAGATTTGGAATGGTGCAGTACTATCGTAGCAATGGCCATGACAACTTGGAGTGTGCCCACAGTGGCACCTGAGGGAGGGAGGCTCTTCTACAGGGTACGTGACTGTAATACTGTAATCCTTACTGATTAGGATTTTATCCTGTGGAATTTTCTCTTAAAGTTGCAAAAAGGTGGTAGCTCCTTTTTTTTTTTGGTTAGTTGTGGGGCTTGAACTCTGGGTCTGGGCACTGTCCCTCAGCTCTTCAGCTCAAGGTGAGCACTCTACCACTTGAGCCACAGCACCACTTCCGTTTTTTCAGGTGGTTTATTGGAGATAAGAGTCTCACGGACTTTCCTGCCTGGGCTGGCTTTGAACCGCGATCCTCAGATCTCAGCCTCCTGAGTAGCTAGGATTACAGGCATGAGCCACCAGCACCCGGCCAATGGGAGCTCTTTTTCAAAATTTTCATCTTCAATTCAATTTTGATGGGTTCAGATAAAACATCCCTCTGTGACGTGACACCTAGAGCTCCTTCAGACAACAGTTGATAGTGGTCCCCGTTCTGAGTGATCTGACCACGCAGGTGCTTTGCGCATGTGCTGTGGCCCTGACCCTTGCCAGTCCTTGCTCACGTGTGTGCTGCTTACTGCTGCCTAGCAACCACCAGGTTCCCAGCAGCACTTGTGCACCACGGAAGTTTAGGGTTTGCCAATGAAATCACATCCCATAAGACAGTGTGGAGCGGTAGTACCGCTAGGAATCTCTATTCTTACTCTCTTCACCTAACTTCAGATTGTCTTAAACATATTTTGGGTAAGAGAGCAGATAAGGAGTAAGGATTAGCTATTTATCCTGATTTTTTTCTTTTCACAGTTTAGTCTCAGTAAACAATTTTCCTTTCCTTCATGGATACAAACCAATACTAACCAAAAATGACTTCAATTTTGTGGGAGACACACATGAAATTGTCTGTAGGTGCACGAAAGGGGATCAAATGGAATCTAATGAAAAGGCCCATGGTGAACCAAAAGGAAGGCCGGTAATGTACCATTCTTCTCGGGATCAAAGGGGTGCAGGTGTAGGATTCATCTTGCTCACGCTGACTCTGAGGGGGCTCTGGCCATGCCGTTCACTCCAGAGGAAAGTGAGATTTCAATTTTTCTTTCAAGCTGATGCTACATTTAGGTCATAAAGGAGGAGGGAGTGCTGTGTCCTTTAGCCACCATGAATCAAAAGGAAAGCAAAAATCTCTGTAGCCTTTTTTAAAAAATTGTGAGATTGCAGCTTTTCCCTGCAGAAAGTCAGCTTTTTCCCAGAACTGGCTGTGCCCTTCCCCACGGTAGAAGTATATGAGGACAAGTATTTTTGGCTAGTATTTTGATATCCTAGAAATGTCAGATTGATAGTGGAAAACTTTAGTTTAAATCCTGACTACTACATAGCTTTGGGATCAGTATCAAGCTGGTCAGCCTTTGGGTTAGCCTTTTGACAGACTGTTCAGGCACAGGACATGGTAATAGAATCCTGGCCCTTACGCAGCCTTCTGCATTCAGCACAGTAGGTTATAGCAGGTGTGACACTTCCTGCTCATTTTTTTGTCTCCCATTGAGAAGCATAAGAAGTCTTCATTTTCATAATGCTTTGGCGATTAAGTAAAAGGAAGAAAAGAAGTATGAAAGTTATTAATGATACACTTACTTATCAACCACTTATTGGTGGTTGTTGAATGTGTACTTTAGACAGTGAGAAGTATTTAGCTCAGGGACCTATCTCTGTGCTTCAAGAACAAGCAGACACATCTATGTCTTGCAATTTTTTTGTGTGTTACTTATTTCCCTCTACGGATACTGGTTGTTGTTTCTTTTTTTGTTTTTGTTGTTTATGGTCCTGGGGCTTGAACTCAGGGTCTGGGTGCTGTCCCTGAGCTCTTCTGCTCAAGGCTAGCACTCTACCACTTTGAGCCAGGATTACAGGCGGGAGCTACCAGCACCCAACTCTAAATGCCTCAGCAGTGTGTGCATGAAATATGGTGGAGTGGGATGGGTTGAAAATACCTGGGTTTAAACCACCTCATTTGGTGGTTAACTCTGGAGACATTGGGAGGCAGATAATGCTTTCTTGGTAATCCTGATCTGGAGCATTGCTCTGTGATAGGATTGAGAACGCCTACTGAGGAGCAATCCCAAGCATTCCTGTGTTCTTGTAACAGTGTCTGCTGAAGTACTAATTGAAGACATCAAAAGTGGCTTGTAAGTTTGGTACTGGTGGCTCACACCCGCAATCCTAGCTACTCAGAAGGTTGAGATCTGGGGTTTGAAGCCAATCTAAGCAGAAAAGTCCCCATAAAACTCTTGTTTACAATTAACCAGTCAAAAACCAAGAATGGGGATGTGGCTCAAAGTGGTAGACTGCTAGCTTTGAGCAAAAGAGTTCAAGGACAGTGCCCAGGCCGAGTTGAAGCCCCGCAACCAGCAAAAGAAAAAAAAAGTAGCTTATAACAAATGTATTGCCACCTATTATTCATGGTAGGCAGCAAAGGAGATCAAAAATAGTCACAGGTTTGATCTGTTTTCCAGTTTACAGATTAGCTGCTTCCTATTTCCAGTAGCCATGAGAAAAAAAATTCCTCAAGTAGGTCTGAGGCCAAGCTGTCATGTGACCTAGGAATTCATATTATCTTAGAGTTAACTTTCTGCCAGTTCAGGGCCAAGAAGCACTAAACAATTGTTTTGGAGCTTTGCATACCATGCTGTTATCTCTGAATTGTCTTCTTTCTTTGTTTTAGACTAGGCTTTGTCCCTGAGCTCTTTTGCTCAAGGCTACTATGCTATCACTTTGAGCTACATCACCATTTCTGGTTTTCTGGTGGTTCATTGGAGAGATAAAGAGTCTCACAGGCTTTCCTGCCTAGACTGGCAGGAAATCCTCAGATCTCAGCCTCCTGAGTAGCTAGGGTTATAA